TAAGAAATAGTGTTATGTAGCTACATCTACCTCCTGTGTATGTTGAAAAATTATTTTTCAGTGTAGACTAGCCTGAACTACACACTGAGACCCTGTCTCAAAACAACCAAAAGAAATGGAGAAGATCTGGGATGAGTTGATCATCCTATATACTTCATAAACTGTTCAGGCAGATTTGCATCACTTGGGTATCAAAAGGGGTCAGAGAGAGATTAGCATGGAACTATGATCCAAGTTCAATATTTGTAAACAAAATCTAGCAGCTTATAAAAAATGTAATGTGGAAAAAGAAATAAATGAATTTGTTCTGAAACTGATTGAAAAAAAACTAATAGAGGGTTGGGGAGATAGCTCGGTTCCACCAAAAAAGAAAATAATAAAATAAATTTTAACAAACCTAATAGAAATGATAGGAAATACAGAAAGTGTTTCAGGGAGGGCAGGGAACAAGGCAAATGGGTTTGCCGTGATGGCAGCGTCTTAACAAGGAAGGGGAATTAGCTAAGATAATAAGGACAAAATATCCAAATGTTGATATGAAGGAAACAAAACAGACTCTGTAAAAGGGGCTATTGTCTAGGTGAAAAGCCAAAAATTAATAAACAAATGATTAAAATGGGAAAAATAAAGTCAGCTAGGCAGTTGGGCAAAGAACTTTGAATCACAAAGTAATAGTGTTTCCTTGGTGACCAGCTCGATCACAGCCACACACTGCCCAGTGTATTCTCTTATCCCATCTTTGAAGAGTTGATTTATGCAGACAGAAGTAAGTGGAAGGAGCAGGAAGTGGACCTGAGTATTACTTGTGGGGTTTTCTCTGTCCCTAATAATTCAAGTAATAATGGCAATTAGAAAAAAAAATAAACAAACTAAGATACTGATGGCAGAAACAATGGAGTGCACGCCCAGATTCCCATTTTTTCTTCCAATCTATGGTCCATTGACTTGTAAGTGACTGTTCAACAGGGCACCCCCCAATCCCTGCCATCTATGTGGCATCATGGGACTAATTTAGCAAATGAAATCTGGCAGGAAGAATGTGCAGTGCTTCTCATTCAAAGAGGTGACTGCTGAAGAGTTTATCTTTTCTACTATCAAAGAGTGTTGTGAGGGAAAACTTAGGGTATCACTTATGTCTTACTTTTCTCTCATTGCTAAGATAAAATGCCTGGCAATGAAAAAAGGGAAGGGTTTATTTAACTTACAATTTGTAAAGGCTTCAGTCTGTTGTCAGCTGGTTCCACAGCAGGGTGGCATGTGACAGAGGAGAGACAGTTTGTGGCAGGAAGAAAGTGACAAAGCAACAAGGGACTTGAGTAGTGTCTCTCTGACCCTTTTATCTTATTCAGACTCCTCAGGGCAGGGAGCACTCACACCCCCAATCCTAGAATCGCACCATGAATCAACTGCGGTGTCACACACTCTAGATCCAGTACGTATGAAAAAAGCCCCACCTACGACCCCATGAGGCTTTGAAATGAAAGCTACAAGGCAAAGTTTCTTTTCTGCAATATGCCCATAAATGCAGAGAAAAATTTACAGAAGAATCAAAAAAACACTAAACACAGGAGAGCTGAAGGATGGGGAGATGGAGTGGGGGCCTTGGGGATGCATGTTCCTTGATACTGTTTGAATCTTCTATAATGAGAATGTATTTGAATGTTCAGTATTATGTACTAACAAATTGAAGCAGAAAATGAAGTGAATGCTAAGGCTTCAACTCCAGAGATTTCTACTTGAAATTGGATTTTTTTTTTTTTTTTTTTTTGGTGGACACTTTGGGGTCAAAGAGCATTGGCTTACAGAATGAATTTGTGGCTATTGGAGATCATGTAGTCTGACCCACAATTCAGCTGTTTCTATGTTTCCTCTGGTTTATAATTTTTTAAAATAAGAAATTTTTGCCTTTGCACAAAATTTTGCTGAAAGTAAAGATAGAGAGGATTAGCATGGGTCCTCAAGGAAGACTTGGCTATGTGAAATATTCCATATTTTTGTTAAAATATTTCATGAATCAAAACAAACATATTTATCTTGTATCCTCCCGGGAACACCTTCCATGTTTCCTATCATTTCTGATAGGTTTTTTTGTGATCAGTTTAAGAATATCCTCATTTATTTCTTTTTCTACACTATATTTTGTAAAAGCTGCTAGATTTTGTTGGCAAATATTTAACTTGGATCATAGTTCCATTTTAGTTTTTCTCTGGTCTCTTTTGGTTCCCAAGTCATAAAATATTTGAAATGTTAAAACAGAAACTCTTTATTTATTGCAAGATAAAATAGGTAAAACTCTTGAAGACATAGGCATGGGCAAGGACTTTCTGAACGGAACCCCAGTGATGCAAGAAATAAAACTGAGAATCAATGAATAGACTCATACAAAATTTTAAAAAATTACATCAAAGGAAATAGCCAACAGAGTGGAGAGACTGCCTACAGATATGAAGACTTATTATTATTTTTTTGTGCCTGGAATCAAACTCAAGACCTTACACTTGCCAGGCAAGTGCTTGTGCCACTCAGCTATTTCCTCAGCCTGATGTCACCTACAGAATGGGGAAAAATTTTGTCAGCCATTCCTCAGAGGAATGACATCTAGGATAAAGAACTCAGAACAAAAATTAGGCCTCTACCAAAGAAATGACCCCATAAAAATGGGTGAACAAAATGAATAAACTTCTCAGAAGCAATACAGATGGTCAATAAATACATGAAGCAATATTCAGCATCACTAGCTGTTAGATGAATGCAAATTATAGCAGTACTGGATATCATCTTATTCCAAAAACAATGGCTATCATCAAGAAACCAGACAGCAATAAGTGCTGGAAAGGATGTGGGGGAAAAAGAATACATTCTGCATAGTTGGTAGGAATGTAAGCTATTACAACTACTATGGAATCAGGTGAGGAATCCTCAAAAAACCTAAAAATAAAAATTCTATTTGACCCAATTATTCCCCTTCTAGATATCTTCCCTGAAAGAGTTAAAGTTACACTGATATTGGTGTATCCGTGTTTATAGCAGCACAATTTATAATAGCTAAATATTGGAAACAGCTTATATGCCCATCAACAGGTGAATGTACAGGAAAACATATTTATGTGTAACTGGGTACAACTCTGCCATAAAGAAGGATAAGATTAAGGCATTTGTAGATAAATGGACGCATCTCAAGATCATAATGTTAAGTGAAATAAATCAGATATGGAAGTTTAAATATCACATAGTTTCTCTTACATGAGAAATAAAGTATAAATGAGGAGCAAAATACAATAGATCATAGGAAATAGGAGGATCATTTTCAAATGGGAAGGAGAGATGGAGAGAAATGGGAGGGAAGGAAGAGAAAAGGGATTGCTCAATAAGGGAGAACTAGAGAAGAAATGGAAATTGAGCTTTTGTAAATGAAAAGGGGTCCAAGAGTTGTGGGAGAAGGAAAGAATGGAAGAGAAAGGGTACAAAAAATGCATGATGTGTTTATACAAACTCCCCACAATAAATGTGCTGTCAGCAGGTACTAATGAAATTTTATTTTTAAAAAATGATGCCTTTCATGTTAGGTATCTTTA